TCAGTGTAAGAGAGCAAGAGTGAGAGCTGATAGCACAGTGCACAGCGAAGTAGCTGCTAGTCAAGAGCCATAACCAGAGTTCAGATGAGTACATTGTAAAGTACTACAAGCAACAGAAAAAAAAGCAGAAGAAAGCAACTGAAGAACGACCCGAATCTTTGTGTCCGTTGGGATAGTATTACTCCCCCACTTCCCCTTCCTTAGTTGGAGAGTATACTCGCGCTAAGAAAACAATGTAGTGCATTTCGATTCGATTTCACTGCATGGCTTTTATCATGGGAGTCAGTATCTTCATCTCGAATATAAAATAATTGACAATTTTTTCCGATCTTATTTTTACCTAGCCTGCGTTACATCCGGATTTTTCTTCGTAAATACCGTATTTACGAAAAAAATTACGGATGTGAAGCAGGCTAATTTTTACCTTTCTGATTCATTCAAATTGGGCTACCTGTGACTTTCGTATCGGGAGCTCCGCTTTTAGGCAGTGCCTAAATATATATATTAAYRTTCGAGGATTTTACCATCGATGACTCCCCTCTTACATGTTCCTATGACTATCTCTTAATCCTCGACTCTCAACACGGACAGCAAGTAGGAAAGTACTGTGGCATGACTAAACCACAGCCCATAAAGATCGCAGGCAATGCAGTCAATATTCGTTTCCAAACCTCTCACTTAAACTCTGCGCGTGGTTTTAAGGCTCATTATACAACACTGTAACTAGGCAAGAACTGTCTTGACCTGTAACTTTAATTGATCTGGAAATGCTGAAAAAAAAAAAAAAATTATTCAAATTACTATTAATATTGTTTTGTGTATTTTACTGAATACTGAATACTTTTAATAAAAGCTGACTGCATCAAAGATCGATTGTGCAGTGGTTGGCACAGGTCCAGCTATGATCAAGATTATAGAGTGGGTAAAGTGCATTGTTTCTAGTAATGTGCATAGGAATCTATCCATCATATTATTCTGTCATTATAATAACAATTATATTACACTATTTTGGAGATGCCGCCTCATGTATATGTCAGCAGCGAGCTATTGTTCTGTCAGCAAAAGTAAAATATCTATTAAGGAAGCTGAACTGACGAATCTAGTGAATACTAGTGAAAGAAAGACACAGCCATGGAATCCCTGCGGATGACCAAGAGTTTTGTCGTCCTTTTATTGTTGTACTTCAATTCTTCTGCTCAAGGTAAGTGTTAATCAAATGGATAACCAAAAGCAATAACACAGGCGACTCTTCAACAGCCTGAATATCTATATCTATTGAATATAAGCGTGTCAGATCTGTAAAGGATCGA